GAAATGGTGAAATACAATGACTACTAGGCGGTCGACTTTGCGCTCTAAGAGCGTCTAGTTGACAATGAAATTGACGTTAGAAATGCTCAAAACTCAAGTGGAACCACGACTAGAATAAGCTAACCGCCTGCGATTGGCATTTTTATAATAACAAGTAGATTTCGCCATAGTTTATTCTTCGTAGTTTCGCTTGTATTTTCTTTTGCGTGACAAACGTGACTGAAAGACACGGGTTCCATGTGACGTCACAACAATATTAAATCTCTAATATACATCCTATGATGATACAAACTATATATTATAACTATGAGTATTATAAAGAGATAAGAACAAAAATGAGTGTAATCAATTGCTTGGTTCTCGAGATATTTTTAATATTTTTAAAAAGATTGGATTGTGTCACGCAACCCCGTCACGGACCTCTAAAAAACCGCCTTTATCCCGTTCAAAGAGAGCAACCGCTGCTTTAGTTGACAACAGTCTCTCATGCGCAGAGACGCTTACCAAAACCAAAAGAAAGCAAGAAAAAATAGCCCTATGAATTTGCATTTTCTACGAGGTGAAAGAATTGCTATCTAACTCTCAGTGACAATGGCTCTAGACCAATCAGCGCACGAGAAATCTACAAGTTATTATAAAAATGATTTTCGATAATTTTTAGACTGAGAATGTAGTGCAAAATTGACATACAACTCAAAACCGTGCGCAATTTGTGATCGCGAATTGGAATTTAGTAGGGCTTTGTACTAAATTGTCAGAAACATTAAATGAAAAATTGTGTCCACATTAAATGAATACAGTAGAAGAGAATAATATCGAGTTCCGATACACGAAAATACTTTTTTCAGCCTCATTTTCATTCCACTTTTTCCCGCGCTTATGACGTCACACATCTCGTCGCGTTTACATCGCCACGAGACTGAACTGAGCTGTGTACATGCGATATTAAGCAGGTAAGTCGCTAAATATGCCCCTTTTTCCTGATTAATTGCCGTGATTAATTGCACTTTTCGCCTAAAATGCGAGGCACTAATAATTAATGCTCTGTTGGAGATCACCCAAGCCTATTTTTTCACTGAAGACAATAAGTTAACATATTCTGTAGTTCGGGAAGACTTTCTGTCCTATCCGGTGCAAAACATTGCCAACAATTCTAGCTTATAGCGAATTGATATTTTTGGTGGGCTAAGCAAGAAAAAGTAACATGAATAATAGCGCTATTTGACCATTGATCGAGTCACTCGGTCCATAGTTTACTAAATTCCCCTCTACTAACGCAAATCTTACCTTGACCCTGAAAGGGAGGTATTCCAACTGATTTGCAAACTCTTTCGCCATCTAGATTCAACTACAAAGAAGTAAACATACAAAGATGACAGAAGAAGGGCAAAATGAGTAAGTTAACAATGATAAAACTTAACTTGTGATCGATGATCTATTGTAAATGACGCTCGCGGGGGAGGGAGGACTCCCGTGATAAATTGTCGCTCTGGGTACGAGATTTTCGGTTATGATAATCCGAGTAAGAAGAGGGAGAGATTTTCAAATTCCCCCGGCCTCTTCCCCGCTCGGCTTTCACGGCGAAGTCAATGTATTGCGTAGTGCGCGATTCCAGCCCTACATGAAGCCGTGAATTTTTTCTGATTCATTTTGTAAGATTTTTTAAGACTTTCTCTTTTATTCTTCTTTATTTAATAAGTAAAAACATTTTTATGATTTATGCTTTATGTTTCGTTTGGTTTTCAATTTTGCGATGCTGGAATGCACATAAAATGATAGTGTTTAGAGATTTGAGAGGTAGTTCTTAGCCATAAAGTAATAATAAATATTAGCCATAAAATAATGCATTAGTAATTTCAAATTTTAGGATACTAGATTTAAGATTGTAGCACACAATGAAAATCTGAGACAGAATGGAAACAGGAATTTACATTTAAGTTTTCCTTTCTCTTTTTCTAGAAGCAGAGATGACCAAACAGAAGAAAATAGCAAAGGTACAACAAAACATCGATCAATAGACAGTGCATTTTGAGCAACATAAGATAATGGGAATTGCATTCTTTGATTCTAAAAGCGCGAGGGCTTTACTGTACAAAACGGCTTCGCTTCACATGATATATTGGCAATCTGATTTATATTCAGTCTCTGCAATGCATACGCAAAAAAGCCCCATAGAAAAATGCAACTTTCAGCTTCAATTCAAACTTTCTTTGGGATATCTAAAATGTGTTATTATAAATATAATATTTTACCTTACTAGCAGACAAATCGGCTGCTGGTGGAGGTAATAACACTGACTGTGAGTATTTACAGGATGMAATTTTTAAATGTTCGCTTGCTTCCTTTTAATCATAGACAAAAAGAAGATCAAGAGGTGCTACAGATGCGGGCGTGTCGGGCACATAGCCCGACACTGCCCGCGTAAGCGCGGTCGAAAGAGAAGACAAGGTACGTATCTGTAATTACCATGTGTAATTACATTTTTAAGCAGTATTTYCTGCTGTATAAATATCTCTAAATGACGTTTTTTTGCCATCTATCTTTCAGGCTGGAAGATGCCGTATTCAGTAAATATCCACTTCCACGGAAGATAGCAAAATTAAAAAAATGTCGGCACATTGATTGTTTGTTTCTTGTTTTCCCTTTTTTTCATACAGTTTACTCTCTTTGAACGACCACTCTCGTAAGCGACCATATCCCGTATGCGACCACGTTTTAAATTTGCCGTTATAATTGTTYCCCATATAAACTCTGTAAAAAAAAACCTCTCGCGTTAGCGACCATCTCTCGTAAGCGACCACTTTTTCCTGATCCCGAGGTGGTCGCTTACGAGAGAGTTGACTGTTGTTACAAAAACATTACTAAACTTTTTTTCACATTAAAAGAGCTTACAATATAGGAGTAAAACATCACAAAAGGGGTCTTCTCTCTATGGCGTGAAAATCCGAGTCTTAATTCAATTAGGGTCGATTGTTACAGAGCAATGTTTTTCTTCTGTGCCTGAATGAAGATGTGAGCCGTTCCTTGCGTTTACTTAATGAGCACAGTTCACGATGGCRGTTGATAATGTACTTTGCAGAACTTTGGTGCATCCAGTTTTTATGCATAATCATCATTCATCAATGATAGCTCATCTACACTTTACTTCCAGGTTGATATGCAGTCAATCTGATTCCAAAGAATAGAATGTTTTGGTGCGATATGACACTTAAACGCGGGGGGGAGATACATGCTGTCATCGTGGAAACCTAATACATCCTAAATCACAAATTCAAAAGCTTTAATTTCCTTCTGAAACCAATACAAATATGCATAATTCACATCTTCGACTATTGTAATTAAATCATGTTTGCAGTACACAGCAGAGAGAGATTTGACTGACATGGTCATCACGTAACCATCAGCAGGAACTGCGGTTTTGTGAATTGTTCTTGTGGCTGTATCCATTGCGACCGTTCTGTGCTGTCACCTCGACGAACGTGCACCGTCTCCAATACGACCGACCTGTAACCATAGAAATAATAGCAAGTGTAAAGTTCATATATGTATCGGATTCTAGTAGTGTATAACTATTGTATTGTATCGAAATTTGTTTGTGAATAAAAAGTTTTGTTATTAAAAAAAATGTACAGCCTTTTGCAAAAATTATGAGAATTGTCTAAATATCTAAATATAATATCCATATCCATATATTGTCTGAAACACGCGGGTTTGCTAGAATAATTCATTGTTGACATCGAGAAAATATTCAGAACTACGGATAAGTCCGTTGCCAAAAAAAAACTAAACAACAAAGACAAGGGACTAAGGGCATCGCGCGGGATCATGCACTTGATATTATGATATTTAGATATTTCAACAATTCTCATAATTTTTGCAAAAGGCTGTATGATAAAAAAATATATTTATATATTTCTCTACATTAACGAGAGAATAATTGTTAATGTTCATCATGTACTGTTAACAGTTCGACAGAGAGCCATCTGGAAAATGTTATCAAATGTGAAGCAAACAAAATTACACCCATTCCAAGACAGAAATCTGGTAAGTCGCTTTTCAGAATAAAGGCATTGTTACTAAACATTTTAAGTAAGCACTATGATTTTTGGAGCCAATTCAAATTATAATGGAGATCGCTTCAAATCTTTTCTAGTATAGAACAATAGAAGGCATATATGGGGTTTATTTGATTTGTTGCAGTTGAGATCGCCGAAAAGATTGTGATAAAACTATTCATGTGGCCACCTTCACCTATGGGAACTTTTGGTGTTAGTTCGAAAAGAACTTTTGAGTTGGTTGTCAGGCCCGAAGTTATAAATTGAATGATTTCAAAGTAGATGCTTTGAAATCTTTGAACCTGAAAGGATTTTTGACGGATTCGAGGTCATGCCCATTATGCGAGAGGATGATTTTTCGTATTGCACACAAAAGTTCAAAATGTCGTATTGTGAGTTCACTAATAACACAGATTTGAACCGCATATACATGGTAAGAAATGCGCCATCTGTTTCGGAGAATACACAAGATAATTTACCGAAAGAAGGTAGACCGGCAAACGCCAATTCGAAGAAAAGAGGCGAATTGCATTTGTAGATAAGGTTGGGGATCAGTTCCCAACTATCACGTTACTTGATAATAACAAATTCAGTTGCAAATGCGGTAAAATCAACACTCTTAACGGCCAGTTTAGAACTGGAAATATCAAAAGACATTTGAAAAAGTGTCCTTTGCTTGTTAGGGAACGAGAAAATTCAATTACATCGTTTTTTAAGCTGAAGAGGTCTTTGAACAAAAACGACGAAGATGCAGATTCCTCAGAAGACGAAAGTGATTAGAGACTTGATAACGATATGATATTTTTGTTTATATTCCTCATTTGTTTATGTCTACATCTATGTTATTACGAAAAGCGTTCTGTTCTAGTCATGGTTTCTTTTGTTATACTGTAGGTTGTTATAACAATGCCATTGCAACTACCTTGACCCCGCTCAGAATGGGACTTTTATCAAGAATAAAAAGTAGAAAAGAAAGAGTTTCATTTTAGTAGTCATTTCAACTTTTYCTCGSTTTAAATTAACAGATCTTCTTGACAAAGATGACCAGCGAGTCTCCTTCAAAGTTGAATGTAGAGAAATAAACAATTTGGAATCCTCAAATCTTGAACTAAAAAGTATGAAATGAACAAACCTTATCAAAGCTTCAATGTCAGCGAGCATGTAAGCAGCAAACGATGCTGCAAAGAAAGTGAGCACACCCTTGGCCTATATTTCATGTTTATGGCACAACAGGTGATTTTTATCAAAAGAGAAGTCAAGGMACTAAGTCAAATGAAGACCGTAAAGCTCTGTGGTGGTGATGTACAAAAACACATAGCACAAAYGATGAATATCCCGGAAGACCTTTGGCAAAGATGCCATCAACTTGAAACTGCTTTGGCATCCACTKCAGACATTAACGRAACAATATTGGATARAGTAGCTACTATTAAGTKTATRGTACGACCCTTCGAATCCTACAACGAAATAACAAAGATTTCTAWTCCCAAACAAGTAGTCCAGACAACTGTTTCTCTTCCAAACGTAGACGAAGCCTCTGCGTTTCTTTTATTTGCAACATCGTCTGGTGTACTCTCAAGTCATCATGTTTTCTACCAAGAGACGCATGCCTTTTTATGGGAGTCTTTTAATCGTGGGCGCATTGTCAATTTCTCTGAGAAATATGAATCACTATTCAAGCTTCAGCAACGCATGCAGTTTAAGTTTGGGAAGTCGTGCAGCTACTTTTTACGTGGTCCAGCAGCCAAAATGAAAGGAAAGCAAGCCACATTGACTTTAAGGGAATATGTAGAAAATCACAATTTTGCATTTCTCCATCCCAATACGATTTCATCAAAGACACCTAATGCTCGCTATGAAAGTTGTACAAATAAAGAAGAGGTTCTTACGGCCATTGCTCTGTGCATTGACTTAAAAGTTAGAGCCACTTGCCCTGAAAATCCTGAAATTCGAGTGTTTCTGGTAAATATGTCAAACGATGGCATGCAGCTTAAACCTGCTCTCCACTTTATTCCAACATTGTGTAAAATAGTAGGACTTGAGCAACCAGAGATGTTAGATTACTCTAATGTCAAAGAATTGTACGAAATGAGCGAAACCGACCTCGTCAAACATCTCAAATCCCTAGACTTTGTTTCTGAGGCACAAGAGTTCAGAGTGACAAGTCTCAACGGCAATGTTCTTTCCCTGTTGGTTGCTACTTTAGGTCAGGGAAAGGAGGTTCTCAGAAAATAGAAGGCTATGACAAAGAAAGTCAGAAGATGGTGGAGACTTGCAAGGCGTGTTTGCTGGATTCACTCGAGTGTGTATTCGTTTGTGAGATGTGCAAGGCTGATGGTGCATTCTGCAAGGAATGTGAGGAAATGGGCTACACTAATATAGAGCCATTGCTTCGCAAATGTCGTAACTGCCAGCGATCAAACGTAGCTTGTTGTCGATTGAAAGAAGTTTCATGGATATCTGACTCAGAAGCGGCACAACGAGCTTACATGCAAAGTTTAAACACCAACCTTAACAACAAAGCAGCTTTGCCAGATCCTCCCCACGTCCTGAAGCTTATTAGAAGCGGGCTGTTTAATTATTGGACAATTATAGGAGAACATGCTGTAAGCTTAAAACTTCTTGCTTGTGCTCGTGGGGATCGAGATAGAGAAACATGCTTGCCTATTACTCGACTTCCACGGTCTTGTTTACGAAATAAAGACCAAATGAACATGATAACAGCAGTAAAGATATTCAAGGAGGAGCTTCTCGATGTGTTGTCGAATAAGCCACTAGTAGCCACACTAATACCTGAGCTTGACAGGTTCTGGCGTCAGAATCCAAGTAAGAGTTATCTCCGAGTACCAAGTGCAATTGCATTTTCACCCAAGTACAGCCTGTTTTTTATTGCTGACAAGGCAAAGTCAACCATTTTCATGGCTAATTTACACAACCCTGTGTCAGTTATTCCAGTGGCAGGCCCAAAAGAAGGAGTTTGTTTCCCATGTGGTATAGTCTTGCGGGATCACTTCCTCATGGTGTTAATGGGTGGAAACATGCCATTAAAAGTTATCGATGTTTCACCGCTTTTAAAGGCCAGCAGAGTTCTTTAGATACAGCAGATGTAGATGATCAACAAGCCGAGAGTCGTCCAAGCAAAAAAGCCAAATTATATGATGTTTTCATAGATGGCGAAGATCTTTCACAAGCCAATCTCATTTCATTAACCGGGGAATGTGGTGCAGAGAATGAGCAAATCACCAGCAGCACAAAGTTATTTGCCTTAAGCTATGCTAAAAGATCGATTTTCCAGATTTCCGATTTTAACTTTGTTCATAATGGCTACACAGCAAAGGCTCAAATGTATTTTACGTTTGATCAACTACAACCCTTTGCATATTTCAGGCTCCAGAGGGACTGTACGCCGGGATGCACAATGAAGGTATTCAACGCATAGAGTGGCAAGATTCAACTAACTTGTTTCAGTACCCATTATGAGGAAGTGTCCTTCCCTTGTCCTTGGTATCACCAAAGCAAATGATATGCTTGTTTATTCTGATGGGGCGGATCATTCCATAACCTTTTTCACTGATGATGGCAGAACGTCGGTACTAGGACAGCATCAGGGGTTTTACGATGGATTTCACCTAGGTTTTAACTCTCCATCTTTCTTAACTGCCTATCGCGGTATCATATTTATCTGTGATGTCAACAACCGAGCCATTAGAATTGTATCAAGCCTAGAGCCTTATAAGCAGTTGGGAAAGCACATGAGTTCTTTCATAGATCTTTTTGAGTTAGATGAGGAAAAACCCAGAAACCAAAGAACAAAGACAAACCTCGATGACGGTATTAAAGTATTAGAAGACATCGATAGATTTATCAGACAGATTGAAAGAGATGCRAAGTCAAGAACTGGCAAGATAAGAGATGTCCGCAGGCAGTTGATATGGCTCTCACTAAACCCTCCAGAGATGCTTTTTCGATGACGCTGCAATCATTTACGAGAATACGCGATCGCCTTAGCACTAATGAACTCAGGCACCTGCTCACTGATTGGAATTTGATAAACTCTATCAATCGTCTTTTCTCTTTTACACTGGTCCTCAAAGCCATTATTCAAGAAGGAAAGTGTCGTTAGTAGAACCAAAGTGGCTAGGTCATGCAAATATTGTGGAACAACGGGGATTGCGCTCAAAGAACACTACGTCATAGATAAATCACTGTCAGTTCTGTTAGAATGTAAATGCATTGAAAAAGTTTACGATAAACCAGATATTATTAATCCTTTATCCGTGTCCGTACAGAAATCGGGGAAGAAAAGGCTTATTTTAGACCTATGACACATAAACAAATTCATCAGTACAAGAATAAATTTAGATGCGAAGACTCCCAAGGAAATTTTAAACCCTGGGGACTATATGTTTTCGTTTCATTTAAAATCTGGATATCACCACATTGAGATATTCCCAGATCAYCGCAAATACCTAGCTTTCTCATGGGAGTTCTCTCCAGGCGTGACGCGGCATTTTCAATTCACGGTGCTCCCATTTGGCCTTAGCTCGGCGCCYTATATTTTTA